TCTGTGCATGGACAAGGGAGAGTGTGTATGTCTTCAGCTGGAATACAAACTTTCTGTTTGTGGTACATAGATAGATTTAGCTGAGGCTATGTATGTGTTGCGCAGGCATGCACCCTAGACCTTTTGCAGCTAGTAAATGACAATCTAATTACTTTAAAGACACGGTCTGGACTTCTAGGATTTAGTTTAAGAACAAGGTTAGGTGCTCTCTTCCCCCAAGGGGGCAATGTAGGCCTATCGAGGCTTGGGAGCCCAAGGAACCGAGTCCTCTAAAAAAGGCGATGTTTCATGAAATTAGTCTTGGGATCAAAAAAGGGAAGCAGTGCTAGCAACGCTGGACTTTTTTTTCAAAACTTCAGGAAGAAAATGAGTGGGGAAAAATTGAAAAGGAAATTAAACAGCTTGGTGTTCCCCAACTATCGCCAGTTAAAGCCTTTTCTTTCAGGATGTTTACAGGGCCTTTCTGAATATTCGGGGAGCCTCAAAACGCCACATGTATAACACCATACACATGCTTATCAAGCAACCCAAAAAACAGATAAGAAATGGCTGGCCCATGTTCATAGGGAGTCTTTGGCAAGTCCCTAGGATGTGTGCATCTAGTCTGGCTGTGGGAGTCCCTGTTTCTTGGCTCTATCTGTTAAATATACTTCTCATTGCGCTGTGTCATGTTTAAGAACAGCTGATATTTATATTTATGGAAGTGTATATTGCTGTGCCAGACAGCACAGAGCTCCCCAGCACCTGTGCTATAGGCTGGGCTGCAAAAGCACAAGGTTTCTTTGGGAACTACTGTCTACTTTTAGCTCTATGTTGAATCTCTGCTCATCTCCAGTATTTTATTTTTTTTAAGAGAGGAAAGCAAGCTCTTACGAAGGCTCAGAAAACCCTGGTGTAAGCCATGCTGCTGCAGGTGAGTAATGAAACCAGCAGGTTTGGAACAAATCAGCGCTCACCTATGAAGGATAGCTGCCTTGCATATGCATGCAGAATTAAAGATGCTTCCTTGCTTGCTTCTGGACTGTATTTTAAAATCTTGTTTTTCCCCTAGATAGACACATCACCTCCCGTAACTACCTTAACAGAGAAGAGGGAAAACATTCTATTAAAATGAGATATGTGATTTTCTAACTCCATCTACCTTAGTTTTTGTGGTTATACCATCAGCGTGCCACTTCGCAACACCTATTGTGCACTGGCTGTCCAAGTTCCAGATCCCAGAAAGATAGGACACCCCTTGCGTTGTATCTCAAGCACCTGGCTTCAGGCTGAGGTCCCTGTTGGACCTGTGTGCTAGCATTACTGCAGGTTTCACCAACAAACCCACCACACTGCTAGGAAAGTTGTTCTGAGAAATTTTTCCCAAAGCATGCAGGCTTCCATACTTGTATTAGTCTCTTAAGACTCTGTCATACCCCGATGTTGGTTCTTTGATGTGCAATATTTTGGGGATACTTTGGATGGGTCATTCTGGTTATTCTAGTAAAGGCCCTCTTGCATCAGAGAAGACCCAAAGGTGCAATTTTGTTTGCACAACATCCTAAGAGATTGCATGGACTATGCTGTTTGACTGTCCTGATACTGCTGTGTCTTTCAGGTATTCAGATTCATGACAGAAGACGAGATTTGTACTTTTAGCAACTGGTTGTTTCTACTTTATTCTGAAAGAGGAAGTTCTTGCTGTGAACTTTTATTATTTGCAACTGTGAATCAAGAAGAAATGAACTGCAGCTATTCTGTGCTTTTTCTCTCAGTTGGAAGAATACGTGTGCTATTTACTATGTGGGGAATGAAAAATCATCTTTTTCTATTCAGTAAATAACCTCTAATAGCTGTGGTATTAAACCTGACAGTATGTTTGTTGTGAAGAAATATTGTCTACTTAAGGCTTTTCATGTAGCCCTCTCCAAAAGGACTCTTAGCACTTTTTAATCTTTCTGTGCTTATTCATTTACCATCTCTTGATAAGAAGCACAATTCTTACCAATGCAGTTGATAACTGCAGGGATGCAGTTAGCATAAATTCAGTGCTGCACCTTCGTATCTTGATTTGATATCTCCATATTGTTTAAAACAGTCCTAGACCGTGGGCAAGAGACTTCAAGGGAACCACAGGTCAGCAAAGCACATTATCGTATTTATGTTTTGGAAGTACAGTAATTTGTGACCATACTTGCAATTCACAGGGGCATTCTTCAGAAACTATATAATATGCATATGCCTGAAGGCTCTGTTTTGCCCTCTCATAACGCATGATCATTTTCTAGAAAACAGTTAATTAACATTAGATCTGGGAGGAAATCTGGGTCCTCACTGGGTGCAATTAAAATACCGCTGAGCAAAAAGCTGGAGGTGGGAATGGTCTATTTTCCCAGGCTCTCTGCGGGTGTAAAAGGTTCTTTTTCTAAATAAACCCTGTGTCGTTGAATTTTAAATTATTGAGCTTCAAGGGCTCTATCACCAGAACAAGCAAAAATCCCTCCGTTTGCGGTAACTGCGTTCCACTGACCTCAGAAGGGCTGAACAGGGGGTGGTCTCGATGCTCCTCCGCGCAGCAGAAGTGGCAGCCATGAACTGTGCATTTATCCTGCGCGTTCAGTTCCCCACCTTGCTTTACCACTCGCCCTTGGCAAACATGTTTGCTGAAGCTACTGTGAGTAAAACCTCATGTGACTGATGTTTAGGTTTGTGTATGTAATCCCTGCAGTAAGAGAGACTGCTTAGCCTTTATTGTAAATCCTAGGGATAAAAAAGATTTGGGTTTATTTTTTCCTTCTTCGTTAGCTATATGTTAATTTAATATAAAGGAGGACAAATGAACTTTATCTGACAGCTCTACGCAGTTGCTTAAGGAAAGTTGACGTTTGAGATCCTAGAGCTTGTGATTTATAGGACAAATCCTTAGCTGGTTTGTTTGTGGCTCTGTTTACACCAGATATCTGCCCTGCCACTGGTCTAGTTCAGTTATAACACCTTGTGTAATTTTTTTAAATAATTTGAGTTCATCAACTTCAGATGTTTATGATACTGATTTTAAAAGAAAAATTCTAAAAATCCCAGTTTGTATCATACAAACTTACTTTAGCATATACATGAGCTAGACCAACCTGAGATCACATACAAGAAGAACCATTTTAACTAAATTAATAAAAGGTAGACCAACATCCTGTCTTCCTATAGATAAGCACTGAAAAATCACTTGTTTTTAATATTTCTACAAAATTGCCTTTCTTCTCTTTTTAAGTTTAGGGATACCTCTCCAATTAGTTGTTGTGGTTTAACCTCAGTCGGCAACTGAGCGCCACACAGCCGCTCGCTCAGTCGTCGTCCCCCGCGCCCCGGTGGGATGGGGGAGAGAATTGGAAGAGTAGAAGTGAGAAAACTCACAGGTTGAGATAAAAGCAGTTTAATAATTGAAATAAAATAATAATAATGTAATAATAATATACAAAGCAAGTGATGCACAGTGCAATTGTTCACCACCCACCGACCGATGCCCAGCCAGTCCCCGAGCAGCGGCCCCCCCGGCCAGCTTTCCCCCAGTTTCTGTACTGAGCACGACGTCCCATGGTATGGAATGTCCCTCTGGCCAGTTTGGGGCAGCTGTCCTGGCTGTGCCCCCTCCCGGCTTCTTGTGCACCTCCAGCCTGCTCAGTCGGTAGAGCATGGGAAGCTGAAAGGTCCTTGACTAGTGTAAGCACTGCTTAGCAACAACTCAAACATCTGTGTGTTATCAACATTATTCTCATCCCAAATCCAAAACACAGCACTGTACCAGCTACTGGGAAGGAAATTAACTCTATCCCTGCCGAAACCAGGACATGAGTTTTCTTTTGTCATCCACAAACCACTTAATTCTCTGATTTTTAAGGCTATGTGGTAATATAATCTGACTTTGTCTATGGGCCGAAGCAAAGATTTCCAAGCTGTACTCCATACATCTGTCTTGCTAGTGCGTGTTGTAATTCCAGTGAAGTTACTGCTTCAAAATACTGAAAAATTATTTTTGTCTCCCTCTGCCATACCCCCTAAAAGAAAATGCTTAAATAATTCAGCTCTAAGGTCTGAAAAGACATATAACAGTATATCTAAATGCTCTTAAAATGTAGTGCTTCTTGGAACAGTTTGGTCCTGTGCATGTCACAGCTGGGAATATTCAAGGTGATTTATAAAGCCCCTGTTTCTGGTGAATCAACCAAGTGGGGCTGGACAGTATTCGGGGGGGGAAAAACCCTTGTTTTTAAATGCATGTCACTTGTTGCAAGGACACAAGGCATCACTGATTCTGCCTTGGCATGGGAACACTTTGAGCCATTGCTGCAAGGTTTGGCAACGCCGCGTCCTCGCCATCTGGCTGCGCGGCAGACCTGGGAAAAGGGAGCAAGTGCCCGGGCAGCCCCAGGGCCCGTGTCTTGTCCCGGATCCCCCTCATCAGCGCTGTGAGCCGTGGTGCCGGGCTCTGCACCGGGCGCGCGGGTGCTTGCTCTCCTCCCCAGCTGTTAGAAGAACGATGACCTTAGGGTAGAGGGCTGGGGGACAGAGGCTCTGCTGCTCTGGTGTTTTGTCTTACATCACCACAGCAACATGCACCAGAGCGTGCCTGGGTTTGTAGGCATCTTACTTTTCTTCTGCAATAAACGTAGTTAACCCATCAGTGCAATTTGCCTGTAATGATTTAGTATGAATAGCGGTTTGAACATTTCACAGCAGTTCCCTACATTAGGTAGGCTTTTATATATACGTGTATATTTCATATATATATAAAAAAATATATAGAGAGACACATATATATTCCTCTACAATATTGTTTGTCCAGAGTGGAGTGTTTCTTGCTTTTCCGCTCAGGCTTGTGCTGCGTTCCCGATGCTGCCACACTGCCGTCATGCTCCGATGATGGCGTCTTCATTCCCATTCAGTACGTGCGCTCTTTTGCTCGGAAGGACTTGGCTGACGGCACGCTGCATTCAGCAGCTGCCATCTGGTACTTCCCACGGTTATTTTCAGTTCCTCCTCTGAATGCAGCAGTCACGGTGGTGACAGGAGGAGAAGGGATGCGGGATGTACCCATTTCAACAGCTTCTGACTCCCTGAACGCTAGCGCACCTCTGCAGAGACCGCTCCAAAGGACAGAAGGACAAATGTGGGCAGGGTGTTACGTTTTCTGGTAATTTACTGACCCTGTGGGAAATATATTTGCTTTCATTTGGGTACCATTTCTAAAGCTCTAATCGAGGAATAATTTCTTTGCGCAGATGGTTTTTCTCCGATCTTTTTCTGATGAGCAGATGAGATGCAAACTATGTGCTCTGTGAGCCCTGTTCAGAGATAAATGCAGAGAAAAATACTCAAGTGTTTGACATGCCTACCCTGTGAGGAGTCTGGGGCCTTTTTTAATAAGCCGCAGGAACTGTTGTACTCTTTTTTTCACTGTGCATGTCCCAGGACACAGACATTTTCTTCCGGGTGTCTCGTGTTTGCAGGTGCCTTGCTCTGCCTTCTTGTGCGGGATGGCCCTGGTCCAGCTCCTCCTCTGATGGTCAGATAAACCTTGTGGGTGGCTGGGAGCAGTGTAGCTGGCTCAGCTGCTCCACCCCATTTTAGTCACTCATTAGCAGTGTTAAAAATAGTTCTGGACTGCAATGACAAACAAGAGAGACTCTTTTGCTATTAAAGAAAAACCTAAAGGTTAAAAAAAAAAGGACAGGAATGCTACTGGGTAACTCGGCCACAGTTTATATGGCCTCTTCTGGACATTCATTGCCTCTCTTCCCCATCAGCCTAGCTTTTTACTTGAAGTCAGCCTAGTTCCAAAATGTCCCAGAAATGTGACAGAGATGTGACAGCATGTTTGCGTTTGTTATTCCTAATTTTGGATGAGCAGCTGAAAGAAACACAAATTCTCCTGTGTGCACTTGGGCTGGAGGTGGCAGCGCTTTGCTGAGGAGCTGGGCTGTCTCCGGGGTCACCGCGAGAGGGCTGGCAGTCCCAGCCCAGGGGACCACCATCTCGCAGTGATGCTAACAGTGACGTCACCCGGGAAAATGGTCGTAGCTGGTGGCCCTCACCCTGGAGCTGATATCCCTCATCCCTTTCAGAGAAGGAAACCCAAGCTGCTGTTGCTTTCATTTTTGTTCAGGTGTCAATTAATTTGCCCCATCACAGGTGAGAAAGGGACACCTCATGTACCCACGTAGCCTTTGGTAAACACTTGCTCATCACTGGCGTTCTTGACCATCTTGTGGTTTTTAAGCGTCTTTTCTGGCAGGCTCTGCCAAGCAGGAAAGTCCTGCTCCTGGTGAGGGGCTCAGAGTCATACGGCAAGGCTGAGATCTGGCCAGAGCATGTCAGCACTGGTGAATTTGTAGTTGTCTGAACTAAAGGTGTGATCTGTGCCCTGCGCAATGCTGCGAAGGTCAGGAAGTAGGAGTGATGTTTGCAAGTGTCCAAAATCCTTTTTCTTTTTTTCTTTTTCCTTTTTTTTTTTAAAAGAAGAATAGTCTCAAAAGTGGTTCATGGGGGAAAGTTCTCAAAGCATTGAAGAAAGCAACCAGTGTGGGGGAAGAGAACAGTGAATTCATGGCATCCTTCCCCCCAGCATGGAGAGCAGAAGCACAGGTAGGAAAGAGCTTGCAGTCTGACCAGAGAGGCTTTCACCTTCACTTGTGAATGTGACAGCTCCTCGTTCCTGGGTGGGTGAGCTCCCAAATCCCCCCAGGAAAATGGCAGCCAAACCGAGCCAAGACCTTTCTATCCCTTTCTGAAGGACTGGCTCTGCTTGCTTCATTTCCAGGCAGCCCGGAGAGCCTCACAG